ATGATACAAAATACCATACGTTAAAACAAAAGAATCAAAATAAATTCTTCGATATAAAACAAATAATTGTCTGCGTAACAATTGCTTGAAACTTTGAAATCTTTATAAGATATGGAGGCTACCGACTTGGGGTAGGAATCTCATACTTTCTCATTTTATAGACCGTGATAGTTTCTAGCTCACAGCGAACTAATTGTTAAAAACATTGTAACAGTATTCCCAAAATTAGCTTATTTTCAACAATTTGCTGTATTTAAGTTGTTGTTGCGTTGGAATTAAATAAAAGAAAAACAACAACAGCAACAACATAAGATATAAAAACACAGTTTGGTGGTAACGTCATCTTCAAAACCGTATATTGAAGATAAAGAATTAAATCAAATAAGGAACTTTGTAATCGTGTATAATTTTAAGTCAAAATATCAATATTTTGAAATTTCCACAACGGGTATTGTGAGATTAGGATAAAACGTTACTACTGTTTCAGTTAAACTTTTCTTACCGGAACAACATTTCTGGAAATGATAGATCTTGTAGTTTTTAATGTTAGTTGTTTTTGTTTTAATTGTGTATCTCAAGAGGTGCAGGTGGGTGCTGTTGACTAGATACTTTCATTCTACTCTGTAAATTCAATATTATGTATGGCTAGCGCAGATAGCCCTTGTGTATCTAATATCGGAAGAAAACTAACTAGATATCTTCAAATATATATGTGACTTTAGGTGTTTTCCAAACTAAAATTATTTTTCTTACTTTGATAACCATTTGAATTTTCATTATAAAAATAGTAACACATCTTGTTCAGTTTGTACAGTAACACGTTTATTCTAAATAAATAATTAACGAAATTTTCCCATACATTTTCCAGAGACTAAGTCTCTCATTATATAAGAAATTTGCTTTGGTATTTTTTTTAAGGTACGAAACGGATCTTACACATTCAGCTTTATTCTGAAACACTTTTCACCAGCTCAATTTCTCCTGTAAACTATATTTGCAATAATCACTAAAACATCTTTAGATTTCACTTGCAGAATTGGACTGAAAATGTACTGTCCAATGTCTCCCACGAAAAAAAAAAAAAACTCTTCACTACAATAATTCATCATCATTACAAACTATAAAGAGTCATCTAGTATTTTTTTTGTTTTTTTGCCTGAAGTGTAAGAGGTTAACATGAGTAAAAGTTTTAAAACTAAATTGATGCTTTGGTACAATATAACTTCTTCCATTATTTTTGTAACTATGTTTACAATTTACATGGCACTATGTGTCAGTAATACTGTATATATAAGAACAAATACAAAATATAACACTGTTTCGACTTGATACAAAATACCATAAATGAAAACAAAAGAATCAAAATAAATTCTTCGATATACAACAAATAATTGCCTGCATAACAATTGCTTGGAACTTTGAAATCTTAATAAAATATGGAAAATAAAAAATGAAGAAACACGCTAATTCTAGATTCCTTGAATATTCGAAATGAAAATTCATGCGAGATTTCAGCAAAGGGGAAATATACTGAAAATACTTTAAACTATACAGCATCTAAGAGGTGATGAAGGAGTACATTTGCCAAAAATAACTGGACATTTTTTGCAGGTTCCTTTTCTTCTCTACATTTACTGGCTCATACATTTCCAGTATAATTAATTTAAAGAATACGTGATGACCACAGAAGTACCACTACTATTGTGCGGCCACCTATGGAAGTTATATATACACAGCTCTGTGAGACTGTCATAATAATTTCGTCCTGAAAAGATAAAGCTAGTCTTTCTTTTTATTTTAACCCTATTATATTTTCTTTAAATAAAATTGCATTACTATTGTCCTAAATAAATACATTCTCAAGCTTCATACCACAATTTATGTGAATTTGTATTTAAAAGTAAACGTGAGATTGATGTCCTCTTAAAATAAAACAAAACAAAATAATGCAGACTTTTTTTTCTTCTACTTCAAAATAAAATATCATAATGAAACGGTAGAATTGTTCTATACAACTTAACTGGAACATAAAATCGGAGAACTCCCAACACATCTTCAACACTTGTATTCATCTGCGAGTTTTGATTTTCGGCAAAGACTGACTAGAGTGACTCCACCATGAGGATGCTTTCAGACTAATAATGTTAAGAGAAGCATGACTAGGGGCGATGTCCTATATCTAACATACTTACGATAAACTCGTTTTCCTGCACCACATAGTACTAGGACTATAGGATACTGCACGTACATTAATGACTGCAGGAAATTACTGAGGGATGTAGGGCTACACGTGTACATTAAAACAAGCAAATTCCGGAATAAATACAACTATGAGCAGATAACAGGTTCTATCACGAGATGATGGTGATGAATATACTATAATCTATGACACTGTACAATTGAAATATGTGTAAATGACCATCAGTTAATCATGATTAGACTCAACGCCAACCAGCTTTGGTTGAGCTTAATATCAGCTAACCCTGATTAGACTCAATGTCGAACTAAACAGACTGTAGCGCTTACATAAGCTAACATATAATTTGTCAACCACGTCTTATTTAGTGGACATTTGTTTAAATGTTATTAGACAAACAATATCCAAGTATACATCAAATTCCTCATTTTATCCATCTTTGTGGATTTAGGAGAAGAAACTGTATTAGCTATATAAACATCCTTTTACTTCTAACTTGAATCAGTTAACAAAATTACCATACTAATAAGCATGTTTAATTAAATATCTTTATGACTTTTTGCTAATGTTATTGTCTTGACACAAACATTACAACGCCGCACGGTGATATTGTTATGTTCAGAATAAGTATAAATTCTTTTCATTCTCGTTTTCTCTTACAATGAACATGACTGAGAAGTGTAGCTCCTTAATTCACCGGCTTTTCTGCTCACTCACAACTGTAGGGCTACGACTTCTCTTTCCCGTTGGAGTTGGTGTTGTTGAAGAGATAGTAGTCGTACTGATAGAGACTTGTGTAATATGACTTCCGCCTGAAGTGACCGTTGCTGGACTTGATCCTTGACCGCATATTCTATGGTGATTCTCCCAATCCTTGTGTTGACAGAACGAACCACAATATCTTGCTACATTACATCCACTGCAGGTCTCGTTAGCCTTTCTACCGCAGTTCCAGCAGTTCTGAAATACATCAACAATAAATCTGAAATCATATTTAATATATTACTGGAAGCTTTACACATAGATACACGTCCATTGTTAAGAACCTAATCTGGAATCATAAACTACAGTCTTTAAAATTAGTATGCAAAGAGTTCGCGTAATTTGATTAGAAGTGTTAATTCTAAACGATTTCTATGTGGCACTCACAAGTCTCTACTTCTCTGTTATTTGATATAAATCGTTTTATTTATTTTTTTTAACGCATACATTTATCTTTATTGAACTTACACCAACCAATATTTTCGTATGTTATTTCAAGCTTAGTAAAACTGTTAAAAGTTTCACATGAAAGGAACTCTGAAGAATTCCAAAGTTTGTTGTTTGCGGGGGAAGGAGGGAGGATAGATGAATGTACTGTTCCAAACGAATTGTAATTAACATTTTCGAAAGATATCAGAATATCACTATTCAGTTGAAAAAATCTGCGCTTCAACATATTCATTTCACCTATCAATCCACATTTAAAAACAGTCTTTGAATTTTCTGTATCGTTTTTGTTTAGTGGATGATTATAATTAAAATTCACAAAGGTAAGTTCAAATTCGCAACAAAAACTCAGTTTTGTTTCTGTTTTGGATTTTAAATTTATTTTCATCATTTTATATCAGGAATTTGAGTTTTCGTCGCACATATTTCTTAAAAATTTCTCTTATATTTCATAAACCTTACTAATTTTCCCAGGACAGCATTTAATAGGAGTGTAAATATTGACATGTTTTTTTTATTACCTTGAACGCTTAAATCTTTTTTCTTTTTTTACCTTTGTATATAATACGTTGTAAATATAACGTAAATAAAACATTTAAACAATTTATGGGGTACAGGATGTCATAAACATTATTATATGAAAACAAAGTAAACCCATTGGAGGTGGTTGATCGACACAGAAGATGATAATGAACTCCAAGAACTGATACAATGCGTCTTTAGTTCTTGGGCATTATTGCACATACCTCAGTACAATCTTCTTGTTTATTGGCATTGGATATAGCTTCTTCTGTTGCTTGACGCTTTGCTTCTCCAACTAGCTTCTCCATCTTTGCCCTTTCTGTTGCTACTAGTTCGCTTGCTTTGGTTTCTGCTGCAGAAACGGCCTTCTGTAGCTCAGCAACAGCTTGTCGCTTGACTTCATTGACGGCTTCTTCTGGAATCAAATGGATGGAGTCATTTTGGTGAACATGTGTCCTCATGAAGTCGATTATTATTGGCAGGTACAAGAAGCGTACTTGAATTTATGTATTTGTTCAGATTCGCAATAGGAAAGTCGATAAAGGCCCGCTATACCTTTAATCATTTTATTAGGTAATTAGAGGATTTCATCCTCCCAACAAAAGAATCGCCGATAATGAAAGCATTAAATATATCACAATAGTTTTTCTATTCGATCTTAGTAGTAAATTCTCCATTTCTATTCTACACTTTTCACTAGTTTACTTGTAAGTAGTAGTTTTTCAAAACTATTAAATTCATGTCACCATTTAAATTTCAATACAGAAAAAATAATATAAACCATAAGCTCACTGTTATTTTAATCACGTTATATTGTTTGACAAGCAAATATGCTTACATTATCAAAATGGTGTGCAAAGCATATCGCTGTATTTTATACTTGCGGACTTAAATCATATAACAAAGCAATAGTACATGTACTATTTCACTAATATGACTCCATTGCTCTTGGGTTATATTGTACTGCCAAGATTTTTATTGCCATGCTTTTGTAAATGTTATTTTGTTCAAGTTACGATGTCTTATTGCTTTCTATAAAGTACGTGTAGTTTACCCGAAAGGGGGCCGAAGGCCACCTATAGGGATAATCTGTTTTAATGATTCGCACCACTATACAGTAGTGTGTTGTCTGTCAGTCAGTCAATATACACTAAAATGACATCATATAAGGGACGCTTAACGTTGCAATTTGTACTGTCGTGATGTCAGTAAAACGAGCGCATGCCATGAATCACGAGAATAATAATGCACTCTGTAGGCTACAACGCAGCAAGGCATATGAACTTCAATACAAAAATAAAAATATTTGTTACTCTTAATTTTGGTTTTATTTACTATTGAAACAGAACACTTTCGGGGACCCTGCTGAAGTACATTTAATTTTACCTGTACATTATCGAAACGTTTTTGGCGTTAAGTACCTGCTCGTCTTCTAACTTCTGATACTCTTTCCTCGGCAGATTTATAGTGAACCATGATATCTCCAGTCTGTTTCTTTAACTCAAAATCAGATCCATCTAGGTGTCGTCGGCCCCACAAACTAAATTCACCTCTATCGACTTGACTCCGTTGTTGCAAAATGGCCAGAGCACGTTTGGTCTTCTCCACCATTCCCAAAATACAATTAAGCATCTGCAAGAATAGGATATTCATACTTTAACTCGCATTTATTTATATGAGTTCATTTACGAATTTTAAAACAAAAATACTTCGAGCTAAGATACAGTGTGATCACGGTATTTTGAATAATGCATAACTTACAAATATGTTTAAAAATAATTCTACCGTTTATTTAGGTTTATGCATGATAATGTAAAAAAGCTCATCTGATGTGCCCGAACCAAACTAATAATAGTCTGCTTCATAATAATATTGTTGTTGTTTTTACTTATTTTAATATCTCAATCTTGCTTAAAGTGAAAATAAATTTTAGCTTCTGAAGTAATGTTTCGATAAATGAAAATGAACCAAAATAAATGCCTGAATCAAAGCCCAAAATGTCACGAGTTGTTATCATTGTGTAAGAATTAATCTCATCTAACACTTGTCGTATTTTTGATCATTACTTTTAAGGCTCCTGATCAAGAAATACAAAGCAACAGATTGCGCGAGCAAATAATACTTAATATTCATGGGTTGATGGTCAGATCATGCCACAGTAACAATTTGAAAACTGGTATCAGACACTGATAAACGTAGTTATACGTACCGTATGAATATTCTTCCATTCTTCTTCCATCTCTCTATCCTCAACAAAATCCCTGGGTAAGGTGCCTGAAGAAACGAGAGAAAAACATTTAGATGAGCAACTTGCTTATGGATTTTACTGAAGTCGTTTCATCGTTATAAAAATAAATCTTTTTTTCTATTTGTACGATTATTAATTACTTCTGAGTACCAAGTTTGTAGTTTGTGCAGTATTTGTAATATGTAAGTAAAACTTGCAACTGATACATATAAATTGTCTTTGTAGCAAACTTGTTTCCTTGAAAGTTTATTTTAATAGTAACGCCTATACATCAGTAAAAAGGAAAGTTGGTTTTTTTATCGAAATTTCGTAATGTGAAATAGTAATTACAAGCTGCCTTAAAAGTATCACTTATCTCAAAATTACCGTGTTTTATTTTTTTGCTAAATTGTTTCATATTATAAATACTTGTCCAAATCATGTTAAATACAATCTAATTTAATTTAACTTCGAAATAAATCAAACTCACCATTGTAAGGCCTATGGAAATCTCTCTCAAAACGTTCATATCGCTCATAACGATCCCTTTCTCTTGTTCTGTACATGTTTCCGGGCTCATCAAACCGAAAATTCATACCCGGATGAATATGATTTTTTGTTCCCCCAGGGCTTAACCTCGACCCCATTGTAGGACTGGGCAAGGGTTGATGTCGTTTTGCTGATGGTGGACTTTCTGACATTCTATCGCTGTAATCATTTTCTTTGGATCGTCTGTGAAAATAGGTAAATACATTTCACCAAAAAGAACTAAAATCAATACTTAAATAAAAATAGCTTATACGCTTTCGTACACTATATCTTACAATGTGTGTTTCATTTCGTATGAAGTTAACCATAAAGCAATTAATAACAGTTTCCTGAGGAAAACTATAAGAGAAAAATATATGATTTTAGACTGGTGAAATAAAATTTTATTGCACAGAGTTTAAAAATGCAATGTGAATTTTAGTATTATCAATTTAAAAATTTCTTATTATTGCCTTCCGTACTGTATAAAGTTAGCAATATATTTTGTGGCACATATTTTATATTAGAGATAACCCATTGCATAATGTTGTCCTTCGATTGGTCAGCGGTAAGTTTACGGCTTAAAGCGTTAAAATTAAGGGTACGATTCTTCGCGGGAACAGAGTGCAAATAAAAGTTAGCATGAAAAATTATTCGTGTTATTAATCTCAATTAATATAATTCAGCTATTATCATTTTTATAATCTTACCCATCTGAAGGACTGCGTCTTTTCCCATTTTCTTTTGTCTCCGTTTGAAATATTTCTAAAGGTTCACCATTAAGGGGCACTGAACTATCAAGCAATGTCTGCTCGTGCTGCCGAAGGTACTGTTGAGGTGATTGTTTGGCATGTCTAGCAAACTGTAAGAGTTCAGTCTGTAGCAATGGTAGGTGGGACTGAAACCAGAACCCAGACATTAAGTTAGAGGAAATAGACTAAAATTATGATCTTATGATTTCCACCAAAGTGAATATAAATCAAGCCGAACGTTTCGGATAAGTACAAGAGAGAAAAATTTAACTTCTTTAATATTTCCTAGTTGCATTGTTCAAAAAGTACGTTTTGAAACAAACATGACAAACTTAGTTTATTTAAAAATCAAAAATTCAAAGTAATTATTCCTAAGTTCTTCAATACGTTTTTTTTAATATTACATGCTGATTAATGACTTTTTCAGGCAATTACTTGTAATAAGGAAGTAGCATTAATTAGTCCTAATTACCATGTAAATTAAAAAATCTCGTATTTAAGAATTCAAATATAGAAGTAAATGTATTTCAAAAGAATATATGCGTTTTACGGTTAAAATCCCAGTTTAAGTTCTAATTTTCACTCAATATAACCGTGAAGTAGCAATAAAGTAGATGCAATCATTAAAGATTTATAATTACAAAGGTTTTGGCCGTTGTAAGAAATTTTTATGTAACTGAATGCAGAAGATTAATCTGGGATTCAAATTAAGTGATTAGTAGTACTATGCATATCATTCTATATCTTACGAAATAGAAACTAAATGAAAATCTACAATAAAATATGACTTAGATTTACCTTAAGGAAAGGAATGACAAAAGGACGAAGAGGATAATTCGTCACTTCCTGAATCTTCTGATGGAATTCTTCAATTGTAATTGAGGAATTCTACAAAGTCATTGAAGTTTTATTTAAAAAAAGATACTAATTTCAATGGAGGAATTACATAAACACTTTGAAAATTGTATATTGAAAATACCAATTAAGAAAAAATATGTTGTCCATTAAATGATTACTGAAAGATGAACGTTGCTTACTGAGTAGATCCTGATCTAAAGACAAATGTAAGTACAAATTACATTTTAAATGTAATTAATTTTTCTTGTCTAAATGATCTATATTTTTTATGTGCAATAAATGACTAGGTATTATTAAGTGCCACAGATTATGCTCATGCGTTAGAAAGAAAACTTTACAATCTAGTAGCTTTTGAAATTCTGTATGAAGTTCGCAATATGTTTTGTAGCCCATATTTTATATTAGAGACAACCCATGATTCGGATAAGTAACAATCTGCCTTTGAAAGAAGATTTTCGTAGTACTTGGGAGACATAAACACTTGGAATTTAAAATTCAATAAGACACATGAAAATAGTTTAAACACATTAAAACTGATTTAATAGCAAGCTTTCGGTTTCATTCTAAAAACTCTTCAGGCCAACTGAACATGTTAGAGAATACGGTTCAACATAGTTTTCGGTTGGCCTGAAGACTGTTCTAAGAATAGAGCCAAAACTTGCTATTGTAATAGTTTTAAATCCGTTTTATGTGTCTTAATACTGTACTTGTTTCAAAGATCCTGTTACATGACTATGATGAAAAGTGATTTTGATCCATAGTAAAATAATACGCAATTAAAAGAAATAAGTAACAGGTTATTTTAATTTCATTATTCTTTCGTGAATGCTGGTGTTAAATAATTGTAACGTATATACTTACTACAAGTCCCAATATAAGATTATGTACTCTTTCTCCAACATCAGGAGATATATCACTGCCGAATTGCTGAAGAGTGGTAAGAAACCGTCTGAGTTTACAGAGCTGACGGACACCAGAAGAATTCCCATCTCCCTGACTGGTCATAGATGCAGTTGAAGGTATAGGAAAGTTTGAAGCATGACTTACGACTGGAGGAGAGGGGGTCCCCCCTACAGTGGAAGCATGAGGAGAGTGATTGCCATTCATGCCTGTACACATATAAAATGAAAAGAAAAGCAAATAATTAAACATGTTAGTTGCTTTAAACAGTATATTACAAATTACAATTTCCTAGTAAAATATATCTAATCATTTAGAAACTAGTGAAAATATGAACCTAACACTTAAAAGAAAATAGTTTAATATCTGTCATAGCCCATTACTAAAAAAAATATTTCATCCAATTTATTAAAACGATTCAAAAATATCCGAAAATGATATAAGTAACATTCACAGTCATTTAAAATTTGTTTTCCTTTAAGAAATCCTCACAAATTAATGCAATTTTCATAAAATCTTCATTTTTCAAAACTTGTATTTGATTTTATCTCATGCGCAGTTTTGTAGAAACAACTAAATTTTGAATGCAATAAATTCTTAACTTTTCCTTATTTTATTTTCAGTTGATTCTGTTCTCGTGTTTACCTATTTTGCTAATATATATAGAAAATCAGGCAGGCACAAATTTTTCTATACCTTCTAAATGCTGGTTACATTTCTAAATAAAATAACTTATTGCTGTTATGTATATAAGTGCTTAATATTGCAGCTAATATGTGAAAGCATCCATCCTTCTTTATTAAAACCTTGTTTATACTTTATTCCACCAGATGGCAGTAGCCATACTTAAAAGTATAAGTGTCTGTTGCGTAAGTTTGGAATTCACGCGTCATATTGCTTGTAAATGATATCTTTGGAAATAAAAATGTTTTTAACGAATTTGAATCTCAAACGTTTCTAAGCATATGATTTTATGCAATATATATTTCAGAATCTTTTATTTAATGTCTAAAATATCTGTGTGTATTACGTTTTTAAATAGGAGTTAAAAAATAAATCGATTTTATATAATTAAGAAAATTGAATTTTTTTTCAATATAAATGTAGTGTTCTTTCAAAGTTTGAAATCGAAACACATTTCTCTTACAGGAAACGGTAATAAACTACTTATTTCATTACAAGTTTTATCCATGAACTTAGAAATTAGGTTTCAGTGAAATAAGTAATGTGAGTTCAACCACAAAACTTACCATGTGCAGCTACGACTTTGTGATTTATTACTGTTCCTGCTATATTTCCACTAGAGGCCGACACCTTCACGTTACTGTCTGGAGAATCAGGCATATTCGTCGGATCTGATATTTCTGAAAGAAAATGCTAAACTATTTATCATATACAAAATAGCTTTCTGAAAAGAAAAATAGCCTTGAGTCACATGATAGCCCAGAAGGCTATGATAATAATTTTCTGTATTGCAGTATATGTCATTGTTCTATTGCATAAAGAGTAGCTTAAAATATAAATTTATTATGTATCATGGGTGATCCTTGAATAAATATTTTCTTTTGTACAATCAGTTTCATGCATTTTTTCCTCTTCTTAAGAACTTTCCATTAAACATGTCTGTTACTCAGAAGTGCATATTCAACTATGCAATAGCTTCTGCTAGGTGATCTGCTAAAAATTGTACAATAATAATCACAATTAATAATAAATAATGTTAATTATGAGCAACAGGCAACATATAAGAAACGCCAATAAAAAATCATGAAATTTCCTATTAAGCCTTTGTAGTTAAAATGAAGATGCAAATATAATTTCTGGCGATAATTTAATTACATTTCACTACGAAAGTTTTATCATAATCTAAACTTTACATAAACTTGATATAAGAATTAATAAATGGCATAACAAATTCTTACGGATCATATAGGAAAAAAAGTGAAATATACGTTGTAAAGTACAAAATGATAAAACGTACTTTCTTCAAGGGCGAATATATAGTAGCTTATTTGTTTCCTGAAAGGTAAGCTGTGAAGTTTTGTGAAGGACTTTCCATTTTCAGAGGAGACATGCTCTTCAACAAAAAGTCCATAACATACCAAGTCTTATATCATGAAAAAGAATTAATGCGAATGTTTTTCCTACTTCAGGGATAATTCGAACGCGTTTTGAAAGTCACTGCTGTTTCAACGGTTTTCCTGGCAGTTTCACAAACATGTTTCTTTTTCAGGGATAACTCAAAAATCTTTCAAAGCATCTTTTTCTTTTCTCTCATCAGGGATAACTCGAAAGCTCTGGAACAGCGTTCCCTTGCTAGCTTTAACTTATGTGCTTTCGATGAATCATTTTATTCTCAGGAAATATTCAAAGTGTGTTTTCAAAATGACCTCCTTTTACCATGATAATACGCCCCAGAAAAAACAATCTGATGCTCGCATGACATGTTTAATAGATTGAACTAATTTTTCTCAGCAAGAAAGATTCAACTTAAATCGAGTGTTTTAACCCAACTTCTGAGTTTATCACTATGTGACTAGTTGTTTCTGAATGATTATTAAGAAAATACGAAAGCTATTCTAATGATATATATATTACTAATATATTTTTTAATAACAACACTGTTTAAGCACAAGAATGTCACTGTCTTTTTCCCTCCATCAACTTGAAAAAGATAAGACACAAAATAGCTATTTCTTATTTTTATTATAAGAATGAAACCATCAACAGGTTACCCTGGGCTTTGCGTTTTGTTATTTACTAGGAGTGCTACTATTTACTGTGAAGTTTAATTTAAACTAGTCTTTGACATGCTCATATATGATCTTTACACAAAACGCCCAAGGAAAACGTATCGATTTTGATTATTAATTAAGATATATAAAGTGTTGTAAGATATGGCACACTCAGACGTATATTGCGCATTAAATAATCGATCTTATTTTACGCATGCGCAGAACGAAACAAGAAAATAAATTATTAACAGAGGGAAGTGCCTATATAAAGAAATTATAATAGCACGTTAAGAAATTAATTTCGTTTAGTGATTACTTTATTCCATAAGCGCAATCAATAAGATAGACTCATTAAAGTTGGTAAGATTTATAATTTAAATTAGGCTGGAATTAGTTAGCATTCTGTAAATTGCTCCCCAGTGGCACGGTGGTATGTCTGCGGACTTACAACGCTAGAAACCGGCTTTCGATACCCGTGGTGGG